TTTCACCTTTTGTAGCCATGACAACTGTTCGAATTTCACTTGGGGATTCATTTTATTTACACTGTCTCGTTTATAGGAACATGGTGGGGCTATGAGTGGGGTTTGGTGCACCATTAACCGGTTTTAACTCCCCAGCAGTATTTATGCTGCTGACCGTTCCAAGACGGCGCCCCTTTGTGCTACTCCGATGTAGGTCTATGTTGTTTTATACTGTTTTGGTGACACTTTTTTGTCTCTTGTTGTTTTCTCGCTTACGGTAAGTATCTTCCCCTTTGCCCCTAGTTTTATTTATTTTATTTATTCCCCACCCCCACCCCCAACTTGCCCAGGTCTCATGTCCCCTTTCCCTGTGCCTTTTGACTTTATGGGCCTAATATTCAATCATTTATTTGCTTTCTTTTAGTTCCTTATCAGTTACTAATTATTTATTCTTATGTAGTGGTTTGCCTGCCCGCGCTCTGTCTTGTGCCCTGTTTATGTTTGGGGTCCTCCTGGGCTCCTTGCCACTGGCCCTTGTTACTGGGTCGGATAGGGGCTGCGTTCCTTTCCTTATTGATCTTGTTTATCATATTTTGTGACTTGATTATTGTGCTGTGCCAATGTTGTCATAATGGTTATCATTTCTGCCAAGTATTTTTAAAATTATTGCAGCGGTTTAAATGTTATAGACATACACGAAATGTAGACTTTCTAATATTTGACCTGTATGACCTTAACCACGGGTGTAGCAATTCAATTATTGCGCTCTGCACATCGTCTCATAATGGTGATCACTCCTGCCAAGTTATTTAAAAGAACTTTTCAGCGGTTTAAAAGTTATGGAGCGGACACAAATTGTATACCTTTTAACACTTGACCTTTTAGTGTGACCTTGACCTTGGGGATAGCAACCAAATTATTGCGCTCTGCACATTGTCTTATAATGGTGATCACTTGTGCCAAGCTATTTAAAATTAAAAAAACAGATGTTTAAAAGTTATGGAGGGGACAAGAAATGTAGACTTTTATACATTTGACCTTTAAGTGTGACCTTGATATTGTTGGTGGCAACCCAATTATTGCACCCTGCACATGTTCTTATAATGGTGATTGATTGTGTTATTTTCTAAAAACTTCAGCGGTTAAAAAGTGGACAAGAAATGTAGACTTTTCAACATTCGTCCTTAAAGTGTGACCTTGACCTTTTGGGTAGCAAGCCAATTATTGCACTCTGCGCGTCATCTTATAATGGTGATCAGTTATTTAAAAAAAAATCAGCGGTTAAAAAGTTATGAAGCGGGCATGAAATGTAGAATTTTAATATGAAATGAAGTCTTTTTAACATTTGACCTTTAAGTGTGACCTTGATCTTTGGGTAGGCCATTCCTATAATCCCCATTTTTGCGACGCGAAAGGGGATTAAAAAAATATGAAAATCAAGGTCAACAAGGAAAGGTGGCATTCAAAAAATCGCATCCCCCAACACATGACCACCGGCAAGGACACCAAACACGACACCTAATTTCATTTATATCCCTCTTTGACCCAAGGTTTTGGAAAGACATTTAGAAGATGTAAATGTGTTGACAAGTCTTAAAATGTATTCATTAATTTTGTTTTAGTTAAATGTCAGAAATAAATCAATTGCTTTCATATCTCTGCATCAATCAAACTAAGATATACTGCTAATATACTTGTTAATTTTGCGACCTGAAAATATTTGCGATTTTTACGAAGTGAAGTTTAGGCAAACTTTCTTCTGTCATTTGAACACACGTTTTCATACAACATCATACATGAATAGGTTTTACTCTTCACGCCCTGAGATTATTTTTTCTCATTAAATATTAAATTTTGGTCTTTACAAATCAGAAATGTATTGATTAAACAATATATATGTGTAAAAAACAAAATAGGTCATGGATATATTAACAAAAGAATGTTTCAAAATATCACAAAGTAATGTGTAATGGGGTCCTTTATCAAACTAACAACGTATACTTCAAACAATTATATAAATAATAAAGGTATTAAACATCTGAATAGAATAGAATAGCGGCATATCTTTAACATGTACCTGCTTAATTAATGATATCACAAAAGCAGTATTCAGTTCAAGAAATCCTATTTTTGCAACTATTTCCGCAGCACAAATTTTTGTGACGCATAAATATCCACTTATACAGTAATTAATAAGACTAATAAGTCAATGCAGTAGAAACAAGTAAATAATATAACAAGTACGTTTTGTTTTGTTATTGTTATTAATGCCTTGCCACAGTCTTCAAAATTGATAGGTCTGAAATGCGCCCATTAGCCAAATATATTTTAAATATTGATAAAAAGAACACAATGTATCATTTGGATAGTCAAAAAAATACTTGATAAAATGTTGATGGTTGTGTTAGTGATTTGGTATGAACATGAATAACAAGATGGAAAATATTATTTTTTTCTAGCACATTTTATTTCCTTAAATATAAATCAATGCATATCAAATTATATAAATCTGACATGCTAGCAACATGCATATATAATTCGCTCGTTGTTTGTTGTTTTGTCTAAAACTTAACACTTTCAACGTAATTATTTACTCATAGAAAAACCTTCCATTATAATACCAATTTATTTTTAATCTGACTAGTTACAGAATATATTTTAATCAGATATAAGTGTTTGTTTTTTATTTAAGCAATAACGTATGTGCGTGTTCAATTAAACAACAATTTGTTTTACAAAGACGTGCGGTTTTAGACGATTTATTTAGTTATACGATCAAACAATTTTGAAACAGACAAATATGTCGGTAAATGAAATTAATGTGAATGTGAATTTTAAACCTTTTACGACATGTTTAAATGTATTAATTCTTACATTAATTGCACTTTTAATTTGTTACAACTGTGTTTTAATAATTTATATAAAATATTTTCTGAACAAAATTGCCAGCAAAGTTTTGTTGAAAAGACACAGTGTATATTACACATTTTCATCTTTTAACAGATAAAGTACTCCAATTTGCATAGCTTGCAAAGGTTATTTCACTTTCAAACTTTTTCTTGAAGCGATATCTGAAACGTTCCAGACAAAATGTTCTTATTTAATTATTTTTTATCATAATGATTACATAATAAACATTTGTATACCATTCATATCACTTGCATTTTAACGTCAGAGCAAAAGATAAAATAATTTCATACATATTTGTTTCAACTTATTTTAAGTATTTTGTAGAAAAAAGCATTAATCGATCATGTGTTCAGTTTAAAGTTGATGTTGGTGTTAATATTTGAACATTGTTGTTTGCCATCTTTTTTCTTCTTCGAGATATATGTAACTCCAAGTGGTTCATTTCAATTAATTGTTGAAAAGGGATAGCTTTTGGGCGTTTGCTTTATGTCAGAATTAAAACAAAAATGTGCATAGTATTTATTGATAATCTAGTCTAGTCAGGTTGTTGATTTCAAACATCTTGCCCCTGACAGCCGTGGGTTCGAATCCCGACATGGACTTTGGATTCTTTCATGTGAAGGAGCAATCCAGCTAGCTTACGGAACGTCATTGATTCTACTTAGGCGTCCGTTCGTGACTGAAATAATGCACATGAGCGGAATTCATTAAAATAAAAGTTCGATGTTAAAGATAAAGCTCCAAGGAAAGATATAATCTTTCATCTTAGTTCATGGGTTCTATTGACAATGTCTGGCATATAACGTGTTCCATGCTACAAGTAAAACATCGCACTAAGCAACATCTTTCAGTGCTCTCTCTTAAGGAAAAAAAGAGAAAAAAATCTTATATATAACAATTCGTAACTTGTGTCATAAAAGAAGGAAAAAAACTTACGCACAATGTTTACGATTTTATGTCATCATTACAAGAATCAATGACATAAAATTGATAACAAGATGAGACTCCTTCTTTTTGAAATCTGAAATCCTTTCTCAAAAAAGTAAAAGCATTTACGTGAACTTCAAATATAGATGGTGATTCAATTAAATGTCTTGTGCAACAGGTGAGATGTTCAATGGAACATTTTAATGCATGATAAGAGCAAGTACAACACACCATGCGTCACATTCGTTACTGCATTTTGCAGTATATGACCCTTGACATAGTAAGTGGTCGTAAATTTACGGCAATACCTGAATATATCTTCCTGTTTTGCCTTACAAATACGTCTCGACATTATCATGCCTAATGGGGTACATTTGTTTGTAAACAGATCAACAGGTGAAGTTTTGTGCAATTCTGGGATGAAGTCAAAAATGCAAAGAGCTATCTTGTAGACACATCTCAACATGTTTTTTTGTGGACCTTTTAAGATCATGTTATAGTTTTGAACTGGCCGCGCATAGACAGAAATTAAGATACACTAGTGTTACAAGAGCGTATTATTTCAAATAAAAAAAAGATGACTATCTAGGGTCCCTGACCAGGTGCCTCCATCGCATACTAATAAAATTCTCTTGGTGTTTACCTGAGTCTTTCCAAAGGCAATCACAGGGTAGTGCTGCTGATTATTCGGACCTGTTTTATCGGACTTGGTGGCAGACCTATGTAAAAATACTTAAAACTTACAAAAAAATGTTTCGGTCTTAAATTCTAACAAGAATATATATTTGAGGCTTCTGCTTCTCCCCGTTGGTATGCCCTTACCCTTTTGATGTCCTTTAGGATCTGTTGTTAATGGATGTATATGGACTGTGTTTCGTTAACGTTTCTCTCCCTTGTTGATATATTTTTATTTCTATAGCAGAATATAACGTTGATTTATTTCGTGAGTTAAAAAGATTTTAACATTGGAAGAATATTGCAGTTATCGTTTAGACAGAAAACTCAAATATAAGAAGACGTTGCATCAAATATGATTTGATTCATCCGTACTAGGAAGCTAACAATTCTTTGTTTAAATATAGTTGCTCCTCACATCATTCTTAACGCAATAACATGCATCAACCGCTGTGAATAGATTATACGCTTAAGAAATTTGCTTAAGTTCTCATTAGGTACATGGACAATTACGTAGCGATAAACTGCATTATATAAACACTGTTGAGTATATGGTCAGACATATTGACTTTGAAATGTCTTATTATATCTATGATATTAAATCTCCCGATAGAGACATTGGAAATTATAATCAGAAATATGTTTATAATGACATTGAAAATGAAAGGATGTTTCTGTTACAGAGGGAGATGTTTAGGCGTAACATTTTCTATAATAAAGAACTAACAGGCAATTTATTAGATGGCTTCGATAGAGCAACACAATTTGGGGAGCGTGAAGATCTGGTGTCACGGCAGAAAAATGGCCTAGGCAGTTCAGGACAAAAGTCTTTAAAGGTAAATGCAAATCATTATCGAATAAAATCTGGAATACTTCGTTCAAAATTGTTAATTGCATCAGTTCGTTAATTCCTATTGTGTTCTCAAATCTATAAAGATATCATGAGTAAACACATTAAAGTGTAGTTATAGAATTTGTAAAAAAATACTTGGCGCATTTGAAATGGCAAAAGTATACTCTTTGATTAAATATTTCAATCATCCTCAATATCATTGAAATGTGCAGACGAAAAACAAAAGGAGTGTCCTCTTTTCTTTGATAATAAATGCTGTTTATTTTCAAATGATTATTTTACTGTAATTTTCACAAAATCGACTTTTCTTTCTTTTACATAGTATACTTTTATTTTCAAGAGAAAATGTCTAAACGTCGATTAATTTAAGAAATCTTTGTCTTAAAACATTGTTCGGTTATTCTACTGCGGGTCAATCTTACTGTGAAATGAGTTTTGCAACCAGAACTCAAAATAAAGAAACAACTATTTTTATTAGCCTCCTTAATATCAACGTCTTACAATAGTGAACATAATATAACTGTTTTCTCTGCCTTAGGCGCGTTATCGGCCTTGTTACGCAATCACTTTCCACTAATTGTTGCTTTCAAACAAGATTGGCCTACGGCATCAAAGGAAACGATACTCTAGACATTTGCCACAAGTCACATTGGAAAGCGCCACGTCTAGCACTTGTAGATTCTCAATTGAATTATTTATTCAAATATGGTGCCATTTACAAACCTAATGGGGGACGCAAAAGGTTCAACAGAACGTTTGGTTCTATATAAAAGATTATCTTTAATTCTTATATTTCTTAAATAATTATCATTGCAATCAATAAATTTGTAACGATCATCCCCTGTCATGAAACATCCGTTAAAGTGATCATCCCTTTATTAATAATTTTAACTAGTTCTGAGCGAATTTCTTCAGTCAATTTAAACCGTTTTTCAATTTATTTGCACTTTAAAGGCACTTAGAAACGTTTTCTTATAATATCGCCAGATTTGAATGGCCTTAAAACATCTACCTACATACAACCAATGACAACTAAGATTTATGAATGTATGGTCGGGATGTTTGCATTTATCAAAGCTTAAAGATACTTTTGTACATTTAACGGTGCATGAAAATGTGCAGGTATCATTATATGAATTGTGGAAATGAACTGGTTGTTCATTGTACTTTACGTACATATTATGTGGATATATTATGATTAAGCACTACTTTAAACGAAATAACGCTGTTGAATGGTCGATGAGATAAACGGATAAAATGTTATCAAGTGCAGGAGATGCGTAATGTAAAAATGAGAAATATATAACGTTTTATATGACTATATTTTAAGCTATGTTGTGTCACCAAACCATGCTGTATAATGACGTAATAAGCTTTTGAGCTGCAAAAGTCTATTTTTTTTCAATATCACTGGGCAACCATTGTTTGGCAGAAAAATGTTACAAACTGCATGAAGCAATGTAAACTTAAATTTAAAATAGTGCCTATAAAACAAAACCAAGTTATTGCAGTTACATTAAAGTTATTTTTTTTTCGCATCGAATCATTTGCTTCATATAATATTTTAATATATCTTTGTAAGAAGTTAAGAAACGTAGTCCTTGGCAAATACAAAACTCATTAATTAATTAATTGTGAATTTCTGTATGTTTCTGACAAATCATATGGAAGTGATTTAGAATCTCTTTCAACTTTACGCGCTATTTTTTCAACAAAAGCATAATTTCAGTTACATTTTGCAAGTTAAAACATATTTGAAACCATGGGTGTCGGACCTTAAAATTGTGTTCACAAAAAATGAATATTTTTTATTTTTTATTTCAGACAACAACTTCTCAACAACCTGTTTATTTAAACAGTACTGTTTCAAAAGAAGAACTTGTATTTGATGAAAATAGAATTTCGCCCGATTATTTTGCTATATCGAGAAAAGACAGAGAGAAGTCTAGAAGAGAGACGCATAATAGAGGTAAACATCCTTTTAATGAGATGAGTTGCATCGATTGGTTAAATCTGGAATATATGACAATTCACAAGTCTTTCCAGTATCAAACTTTAATCGTGAAGGAAAGTATCAACATTTCATAGAAGTGTGTTCCTTTTTCAAGTGGACTTATCCTAACGTTCATAAATGTGCTGTTACCTTAAAGGGACACTCATCGACTAAATAAGCTCACCTTTGCCAAACATTGATTCTTAGTTGTAGTAATTAGCTCTTGGTATTTGTTTATTATTGTGCGTGCATACATCATCAATTTATCATTTTATTACACATATTCACTATAAACATAAAATTATTTGATAATCTTTGCATTGACTCTTACAATGCGGCATATAGCTTAGATATTAGGCATGGCAAGGTAGACATTTACCACGATACAAATTGTATTGTCACTTATGTTTTACAAATAGCATATAATCTTAAGCTACATTTTTATATAGCTGGGATATTTAAAAAACAAAATAATATTATTGTTGATGTGTCTAATGATCTGTTCGAATCTCAAAAATGATTTCTTCTTTGATTTCTTGTAGACTAAATACCATTCTTGTTTCTTAAAAAAAATAGCCCTGCATCAGAGACCATTACAGAGAACTATATTGAAATATTATGGTTTGAACTTTCGTCATTTTGTGAGTTCATCTTTTTAAACCTTACCAATGTTGTTGTCAATGATTTGTGAGCAAAGTGACCTATCTACGTCATTTTATTACAAAAATAATTGACAACTAAACGAAACTATACTCTATCTTGAATTGGCTTTATCAAATCTTTTGCTTTCAAGTAATCGCAAGTTAAAGATGAAAAGGTTTTACATCGCCGTCTTGCCTCTAAACTATCAATATGTTACATGGCTAAACGAATTTTACAAATATTTATTCGTATTGTTTTATTTATGTTATAGTGGAAAAGAAGAGAAGATCATTCATTAATGACAAAATAACGGAACTAAGAAATATGCTACCAGAATACATTGATCGGTAAGTCTTCATTTCAGTTATCAAATTTAGCAGTACTTTATTAAAATGTTTAAAAGTCTGTTCATTAATTTTGTCTAACATTTCGTGTTTAATCATAATAGTGTGTTGAAAATTGAGTACCACTCGAGCCGGTACTAGGAGGCGTGAGGGATGTTGCACAGACTCAATCAAACCGAGTTTTCAATTTTCATTTTCTTTTGTTTAATGCTTACGAGGTATCACTCTTTATCCAGATTTTCACTTTACTCAAATTTATAAATGTTATAACCAATAGCATGTTATTTTCAAAAAACAAATATCTTTCTTTCTTTATCATTATGTAAGTGTTTTCGTTATCCAACAATTGTTGTTTTCTAATTTTTTTGGAGCAATCTCCATAAAAAAATATCTAAAACATATGAAAACTATATAGAATACAAAACTTATACACTTATGATTATGAACAACCTTTTGTATCATTTATACCATACATATTTATTATTTAACCCTGGCTTTTGTTTTCTTTCAAAGATCATTGTGTAACGGAAAGGGTTCTATTTTGAAGCAAACTGTGGAGTACATCAAAAAATTACAAAGGGATCAGGAGAAAACAAAACTTTTGGAAATCAAAGTATCTGAACTTGATGCCGAGTTCCGAAAGATTGCTGCAAGATTAGAGGTACTCTGTGAAACAGATCATATGTTTTTTTCTAAGTTATTGATAAACTAAATGACTATCAAACATTGCTTATGCTCTTTATTAGAACAAAGTCTAAATTGAGTAATGATAAACGTTTTTTTAAGGCAAATTAAATGACAATTCGAAAGCAAACAGTTGGGCGTTCATGGCCATGTGGTTAAGGGCGTTGATTTTAAAACACTTTTCTCAAATCGATGCGAGTCTTAATCCCACCTCGGACTTTGTTCTTTTATGTGAGAAAGCAAACCGTTCAGCTTAAAGAATGTCACTGGTTCTAATCAGGTGCCCGCTCGTGCCTGATATAATGCACGTGGAGGCACTTGAGGTCTTCCTCCACCAGTACAACCGGAAAGTCTCCTTATCACCACTACTGTGTTGGTAACACATAAAATCCAATCCCAAAAAGGAGACGATTTGGCAAACCTTAAATTCATATAAAGCTACTTTTCGTTGAACTTGAAATTATGCCGCTTTTCCATATATATGATTAAACGTTGAAATTGACACTACTGAATAGTATTGAATAGTTTGTTAAATTTAAATTACAGCGCATTGAATCACTACCAGCCTCAAATCTGAACGACTGTCTTGATCAAATGCAAATTGAAACAACGCCTAAAGAAACATGCAATCAAATGTCACAAATTACCGATTTAGATACAAACCGGCAATGGACAATCTCATCAGATAGTGAATATATGTCACCGACAACAGAAGAGGATTGGAATGCTCCACTTTCATCAACTGCGGACGATTCAATAAATGATTTTTCATCTGACATTTCGTTTACCGATACCTTATGTAATTACTTCTAATCAAGTAATTAAAGTTATTTACGAGCGCATGATATAAAAAAGTTGTTTTTCAACCAAAATAGAAATACAACCACGCGTTTAAATGGTTATGCTATTATATAGTTATACGGAAAACAGAAACAAATTGCGTCAGATAAAATGTCCTTTGTTTGCGAAATGGTAAGCTTACTACAAAGAAATGTAAAAATGATGTACAGTTGCGGTTCACCTGCCTTGTTTGCCTTTTGTTCTAATGTTGCCCAAACGATATGACTTTTAAGTTAGCATAAATGTATATCAAAATAATCTTTTCACGGCAGACTTGATGAGCCTCCGTGGCCGAGCAGTTAAGGTTCTTTACTTCTTACCATTTTCCCTTACCCCTGTTGTATCAAATCCCACCGGAGAGTTTGGCTACTTTTATGTGAGGAAACTACCCAGCTAGCTATCGGAACGTCATTGCTTTTTATCAGTTACAGGCTCACCTGAAGTATCGCAAGAACAAACATGTGACAAATTGTATAAAATTCTCAAGATACTTAAAGGAATGTACGTAGCTAGACTCCTTGTGATATTTGCAAAATAAATCGAGTGTTCGTCCAATGTCTTTTCACAATGTCATTCAGTTTCCTGATAAACGTACTGTTCATCCATGGAAATCAAAGTTACATATTGATAAGAAAAATACATTTGTACTTTTAATGACAACATTTTGCTAATATTTAGAAATTATCGTTATGTTTCATTATTACATGTTAAGGTTCAAGAGAGAACAAACTGTAAAAAATTGTAGTCAGTGTGTAACTGAAAACAAACTGAAAACAAATATGTTTTTGAAGTATCCGGACAATTTATTTAGGTTTGATAGACTGTATTTTATGTTATTTTTAAAAAGTCAATTTGCGAATTATTTGTAAAATTCTGAACCCTTTCGCTGCCAGAGGGTTATTGTTTTATTGATCACCTATTTGCCAGAGGGTTTTCTAATAAATTACTATTTTATTAATTAATATAATTATTATTATTATTTGTTATTAGTATTATGATAATTATAATTGTTTCCAAACATGCTAGCATAATAATAATTATTGTCGATGGTATAATTTTCTTTATATTTATTATTATTTTTATTATTATTATTATGATTATTATAGAAACGGCAAAAGCCGTCCATATGGCAAATACGCCGAAAATAACAGGGACGGCATAAGCCGTCCCTATGGCAGTGAAAGGGTTAAATTTTATATGTTATTTTGGTTTTGTCGTGATATATGTGGATATATAAACTGTCAAGATTTTATATCACCCGAGCCGTCAGGCGAGGGTGATATTTTATCTTGGCAGGTAATATATTCATATATATCACTCCAAGACCAAAATAATAATTTTATTACCCTTCCCCTGCCAAGTTAAGACGAATTTAAAACAAATAATTGCTTCTTCAAATGAAACGTCGAAATAAGATTCCCTTTAGGGTACCCCTTCACCACAACATGACGTCACATAAATACACGACGTATTTTCTTCCGAATCTAACGAATGTAAACAAGAGAAAAGGAATAGTCTGTTAAAAGGACTTTTTTGGAATTAATATCAAGCTTTCACAAGGTCATATTTGTTTTCAATACTGATGAGAATATGTATCATTACTCTATTTTGGTAAATAATTATCATTTGGCAGTTAAAAAGTGCTTGTTAATCGGAATTTACATCGCGTAAAATCAAACCGTACGCGCATCGCCACAGCGCATGTTGTTTATAACGTAGGGTTCCCAACGGGGAAATTTAGTGTGTATATTACCCGTCTGGCTCGGTAATATCAATTTCTTTCGGGTGATCAATATCCAATCAAAAAGGCAGAAAAAATCTGGAAGGGTAATAAACAATGATGTTTTGCCTGCTAGGTAATGTTTGATGTCCAGTGTTAAAAAAGAATCATGAAAATATATAGTTCCTCGAATGCAATCACACTATATAGTATGTACACATTATTGTTTGGGATTCACATAATTGTTTTGTTCATTGGTGTCACGTTGGTTTTATTACAATTTGAAACAATGTCCAAGTTACATCATTAAAATAAATATGTGTTGTTGTTTATTTTGTTGTTGTTGTTTTTTCAATACATTAAGAAATCTTAATGTATTGTATATTTTAAAGGGTTCAAAACAATAAAAGCATTGACAAAAAAATGCTTTTATTGTAAGCAATTTATAACTTCAAGATTTTAAAATTGTAACATGTTTTTCGTGTATTTGATGAAATATCATATTTATAAATTATGTAGTTGTTATATTATATAGTTCCGCATCTCTCACAAGAATAAAAGGTACATTATTCACTTTTACATATAGACCATAAATAGACGACAATTAAATTTGTTTAATAGAAATAAACGCAATATGTGTATGTTATATATTATCATAATGTTTATAGTTGAATACTCTACAAATTTACAAAGAAAATGTTGAGCGGTCGTTGCTTTATTTTATGAAATCTAAATAAGGAAAACAATTTAAGAAAATCCAGGAGAGAAAACAAGAAAACTGCTACGTGCTGTATCTTCGGAAATGAAACAAAGCTGATATTGCAGAATTAGCAGAAGATGCATCAATATATTTTTCGAACCAGAATCTGCATTCGTAAATGTGATGCATTGTGAATTTAAGTACTGTACAAACTGATCAGCCAGTCACAACTGCATATATTATATTACATTATATGATATTTAATTTTACCCATGAAATATTGTGCTATATCAGTCAAATATGTTTTCACTCAACACGATACACACGGCTCATGAAAATATGTAGCATTTTATCATGTTGAGTGATAATATATTCCATATTTCACTCAAACGACAAAATATCCTCTTAATATTTTAGAAAAAATATCGGTCTTAGAGGTGTTTATCTGCAATTTAATATCGGTTTGGAGGTTAGATGCGTATGAATTGACAACGAAGGCCCGAGTGGTTAATTTTTTGCATCAAAACGCCAAAACCGGTTATTTCGATTCTAACACGATAAAATAAGGAAGATCACTTATGTAATTTATTCAAGCGGAAATAACTTCCGGTGGCGATTTCCGTATAATGATGTTAGATTTTCGCACCCTACTGTTGCTAAGGTATAGAAATTATTAGACAAAAGAAATAATAAGAAAAAAACGTTATTTTATCAAGTTTTCAGCAATAAAAACTTACGTCTTAGAATGGATTGTATTGTGTTCACATCAGTGCCCCATTTATCATTCTTGTATGTATGAAATAACGTCAGCGTTTATGAATGAGTTGTATACTTAGGATGACGTCATTACGCTGCTTACGAATTGGCGCCGTTTTGTCAAAATATTTATAAACTGATATTAATCAAATATGTGGCGTTAGTGTATATGAGATATTATTTCGGTATTGTTTGAAAAGAAAACATTATAAGAACTGAAAATATAAATAAAAAGGCTTTTTATTGTTGCTTTAAAGGGCTTTGTAAACTATATAATTGATGTTGAAAACATAACAGCCACATATACAACTAGTCCCTAACCAGTGTTTATTGTCAGTTTAACACCGGTTTTTTTCTTCTTCTTTGTCTATAGTGACAAAATCACTTGGAGTGTTAGAATATATTATATTATATTATATCACTTGGGGTGTTATATGATATGATATCATATCATATCATATCATATGATATCATATTATCATATGATATCATCTGACAGATTGATCAATGCATGATTAAAATAAAATAAAATAAAATAAAAATAAAATAAATATCATCATATCATATCATTTCATTAAATTTATTTCATTTCATTTATTTTATTTTATTTTATTTATTTTTATTTTATTTTATTTTATCTTATTTTATTTTATTTTAATCATGCATTGATCAACTGTCAGATATGCCTAAATTATCTAAAACTTGATAAAGAAAACGAATCTAGAGAAACCAACAATTTTAGACCGATAACATAACATTATCCTTCATGCAAACAAAAAGAACTTGATTTATTACTCACTTCCCAAATAGTATAAACATTTAGAAGCAGAACGAATGAGATGCAAGATAATGTTACAAAGCTAAAATTTATCTAATGCCTTTAAACCCCTGACTTCATAACAAACACCAAAATTGATGCTTGCTATCATGTTATGAAACAAAAGCAAACACGCTTACACTTATGAACAAGACATATGATTCAGAAAGTCGATGTATGTTCCCGCAACTGCTCTTAAGTCAATATAATACTCTTCAAAATAGGTAAGAACATGTAAAAACCTTTTTTTAAATAACTGACCATGACAATCCAATAGAAAATACTAATAAAACATACAAAATATGTTCCTACCAAATATAAAATTCACAAAATAAATCAATAAGTGTCTGTGAAAGCCAAACTGTATAATTCTAATTTAAGCCCAGGTGACCCCTTACTTCATCAAAAGGCCACACAAGGTATATATGTAAGACATCGGTCAATAAAAAAGGCTGTATGAGCACACGTGTTAAAGTCTACTTGTTAGGAATAGTAATTGTAATTATGATCCCTGTAACCCCAAACTCTATCTTAAGAGAGGATCACCCGACGTATATTCCTACCAAATGTGAAAAACTTAAGTCAATAGCTACTGGCCGTATGCACTAATGTGTATTTTATCTTTAGAATTGATGACCTTCACCTCACTGCAGTGATAGTAACACATTTAACTTTTTCATAGATTTATAGATAAAACAAAAATGCCAGCCCGTTATATATTCATCCCATGGTTGCATTTTCGTGGATTTACTGAAAGAAAGAAATAGTTATACTATATAGCATAATAACATATGTACAAGAAATTAAGTTTCTTTACAAAAATAAAAAATATCCATTTTAGAGACATGATTAGTTATAGAATTTCTGAAAAATGTTTTTAATTATTTTTTATTTAATTTTTAAAACAAAAATTATTGACAAAAAGGGCAATTAAAACAGAAATAAATAGACTGCAGCCGTTCGAGCCTTGCAGGATTCAAGAACATTTTAATGAGACTGGTATTTGTAAGTTTCCTGAAGCGGAATGTACAATCATGATCAAGTTTTTATCACAATCGAACTATAGGTATTCATATTTAAAACTGCGATATTTCCCTATTAATAAATGTTTGTGGTAAAATGGAACGCGGTTTTAATTGAGTGGTCTAAAACCTGAATAACCACACCATAAATCCGCTATAAAATGTTATGTTTATCTAATGCACATATTATGTGAAAAATAAAATTCAAGCTGTTAATAAAGATTAAGACATCTACAGTGACTTCCCTTTGAATCAATTCCTTTGAATTAGGCCGTAACATCCTTCTGTAAACGCCTGATCTATTCGAGAGTTATACTTTCCACTTGTTTTCAAACTTTTCTAATGGCATCAACTCGAAATATTGATTATAAAACAACACATTTAGGATTACATTCAATTTAATTAAATGAGAATGTTTTTATTTGCACGCCTGGAATATGATAGAGCTACTTTCGGAGGTAAACGGTATATCGCTCTATCACTACGTCCGAGCTAGTAAGGTGTCAAGTGTTTATATCTTTTGTAAACCCTACACCAAATATCGAAAATCGGGGAATTCTATGCCATGTAATTTTGATAAAGATTTCCAGAAAACGTAAAGTTGTTATAATTGTGCTTTAAATGTATTTGTGGCGGCGTTTCCCAGTTTGCGAATTTAGCGTTTAAATGGACCGTTTCATCATGAAACAGATTATTTTTCCTCTATTTTCATCTAAACAGCGATTCAGATTAAAAACAAATACGTTATAAGTAGATATAAGGTCTATAGAAATGACATTAGATTAAAATCAGATCAAATCATTAGTAAATAAAGAAAATATACGATATTTGTTCTGGGAGACAGCTCAGTCGTGAAGGAGGTAGTCATGTCGCCAAAGAGATAGCTCTTTGGTACAAAAAACAGTGTATCTAATTGTCTGTGTATATTTAATTCCTTGCATTTATCAGGCACAAAAATTTAATAAAAAACAATATTATACTAATGTTATTACTATACATGTATATTATGACGTTTGAATAATAAAACATTAATATCTACAGCGTTCAACTTGTTATCGCCTCATTTTTGTCCACTGTACACAACTTTAACTTTGTATATGTGATAAACAGCATACTGTACTGTACATATTATCTATATATTCGTGTAGGTTCAATGATAAATGAAGTATTGAACCTGCGCTCATTTAATATTCCTTTAGTTTATACATATTAATAATCACTTCTGTCACATAACATTAAGAACTTAACTTAAAAATACATGTTAAGATTTTTAGCCTTTTTGTACAGAACCTATCAAATCTAAACATAGTTCAAGGTTCGTACTCTCTTGAAAATGACAAAAAATTGATGGTTGTCTTGAAAAGGCCCTAAATTGCATGGTTGGCCCTGTAAAAAGCTCATAAATTTGCATTGTATGGCGCTAAATTACAATTTTGTAGGCCCTAAATTTAGTTGGAAACTATTTGATCGGTTGATAATCAAACTCTAATTGAGTATCAGAGATGTTTGTACATAGACTGGGTTGAAAACAAATTAAATCAGTAGTATACGTTCCATGATAACTGTCACGGGGGTTGAACCTCATATGGATCTCAAAATTCAGCATCGGTAAAAATACATATGTGAATTTCCGCTAATCCAGATGTGCGCTATAACTCGATTGTGAAGGAGAAAATAGGTCAACCACGGAGTAAGTTTTAAACTTTTTAAACATTTCTATAAGATTAAAAGCTCAGTGACTGTTCTCAGTAGATTCTAACTAAATACTTTTCGTTGGTATTTTTTGTCTGTGTGGGAATAATTTAACCTAAGGAAGTCTTTTGCCAAATACAGCAGGATCTTCAGTGGTAAGAGAGAAAAGTTCACCGAATATTTGTCAACTTTGTTAGTTTTATTTGTTGTTTTGTAATCTGAACAAGGGCAACATTGTCGCAATATACGCCCTTCATAGAAGCTTTTGACAGAGATGTTTGCATTATAGATATGTATAAATGGAGATATTCTCTGGGCAATATCTGGAAAAATATCTGGATATAT